GTTTCCGTCGAGCGGGCATGCGTTCTTTTGTCGGCAGTTACATGACTTTTTGTTGTTGATGGTAGCGGTGTAGGTAGGTAGGTAGGTAGGTAGGTAGGTACGTAGGTAGGTAGGTAGGTAGGTACGTAGGTACGTAGGTAGGTAGGTAGGTAGTTACGTAGTTACGTAGGTAGGTAGGTAGGTAGGTAGGTAGGTAGGTACGTAGGTACGTAGGTAGGTACGTAGGTACGTAGGTACGTAGGTAGGTAGTTAGGTAGGTGCGTAGGTACGTAGGTACGTACGTAGGTACGTAGGTACGTAGGTACGTATGTACGTACGTAGGTAGGTAGGTAGGTAGGTAGGTACGTAGGTAGGTAGGTAGGTAGGTAGGTAGGTACGTAGGTACGTAGGTACGTACGTATGTATGTATGTAGGTATGTATGTAGGTATGTAGGTACGTAGGTAGGTAGGTAGGTAGGTAGGTAGGTAGGTAGGTACGTAGGTAGGTAGGTAGGTAGGTAGGTACGTAGGTACGTAGGTACGTACGTAGGTAGGTAGGTAGGTAGGTACGTAGGTAGGTAGGTACATAGGTAGGTAGGTAGGTAGGTAGGTAGGTAGGTACGTAGGTACGTACGTACGTATGTATGTATGTATGTATATATATATAGTAGTAAAAACTAATTGAAAGAAATTACTTTTAATAGGGCACTCAAGTGAAAACTGTTTTATGTGATTTACTGTTAATAAAAAGTTCCCTGTCCATTCTGCTTTATTGTAGGCAATTCTTTTGCCCCTCCTCCTCCCCCATATGCACCTCCACCTGACTCCCAGATGCCAGAACAGCGTTTCCAACAGTGAGTAAACTTTTTAATTTTTTTCTTCCGTATATGAATTGTGTCGTTTCATAATATCCATAAATTGCAAGTTAGCACTAATAGAATTGTGTTTGAGAAGGAAATTGCTAAATTTACATTGTATGATTCAGATCCACAGCAATAACAGAGGACCAAGCTCGTGATGCCATGTTACAGTTTGTGAGCGAGCATTGTTGTTATGGAAAAGCCCCAGCACAAGAAATGGTGATTAAGGATGTCATTCCTTCAAGTGCATATCATGTAAGTTCAAGTAGCTGACAGAAACGAAGGCTCGCCTTTAAACTTTTGTTTAGTACTTCTGCATCCCCATTGAGATGCTAGCCCATTGCAACATCCTGCCAATAAATCTGGTACTACATAGTCTGTATTCGACCAAGTTATCCTAGTTTCTGTAGGAGAAAATGAACAAGATTGTTTCTACTCTCCCCTTGGTTGAAATGCTAGCCTATTGCAAGGTTACCCCCAGCAATAAATTGAAGGTACTGGCATTTATACACCTGGATGGAGAAACTAGGCACTGCAAGAGTAAAGTGTCTTGCCCAAAAATGCAACGCAAAGACCCTGGCAAGGGCGCGAATCCAGACTGCTCGATCCATAGTCCCAAACCATAAGGCCATTCTGCTTCTTAGCCCTGCAATTTGTCAGGTCTACTGCTTATAACAAATTTTCTACTGTAGCATTCATTTCAAAGGGTACCCATGTGAGAGCAAATTGTTGTGGTTAGTAACTCAACAGAATATATGCGTAAAGCTTAGCCAGCAGTGATCAAACCAAATTGATTGCAAGGCATTGCTTGCAGTAATCTCATGCACTCCTACAACTTAAGGGTGTATACTATTTGTTTGACAAACAATGCAAATCTCAAACCATTTAAATCACTCTTTGGTCTTTGATTAATCATCTGACATGTATATTCACTTTGTTTGGTAGTACTCTCTGACAAGCTTCTGTGAATCACGAAAAACTGAGTGGAAGTTTGAACCATACAGAGGTACTGAGTAATCTAAGCTTAATTTGTAACATATTTCTATTATTAATAATGATATTATTTTGTTATTTGCCATATTTATTGTCAAGATGTATAAATTAATAATTAATAAGTTGCTTTTGATCAGAGATAGGTAAGAAATATTATAATTAGGTTGGATGAAAACTACTGAAAGCCATTAAACAAATGGGATTTAAAGTCGGTGTATTTATGTCATTACTTGATCAATTTCCAGGTCAACCGATTGACAGCCCAGTGAATGGTCCAGCTCCCCCGCCATGGGCCATTCCTGCACAGCCGCCACAGATGTTTTCTGACTTTCAGACCAAAATAGAAGTTCCTCACACTGCTAATATCAAGGTATGATGCTGAATGTGCGTGAAATGGACAGTAGAGTCTATTTCACAGTCAACAGACTCACGAAATGTAGTGTGAAGTGATAGAGAGCATTTCTGTTCTTTGGTTGAAAGGGATGTTATAGTCTACAGGGGCAGATCTAGGGGGCGTGCAGGGGGTGCTCATTCCCCCACCCCCCAACCCCCACCTCTGATATGACCTGCAGCTTTCTAATGAAACTGGTTTTCTGCAAAAAAATTTCAACAATTTGCTTATGTCACCACTCAGTTATGCCATTCCTTAGTGGTGCACTCCCTCCTAAGAAAAATAGTGGATTCGTTCCTGGTCTACCACAGGTTACCCATTCTTCTACCTGCACCATTAGTGCATCGTGATGCTTAAAATTCTGCTAGTACCCAGATATTTCTGGCCAAGCTAACTATTACCATCTGGATGAGTGACCACATGACATGTCACAAAGATGTACAAATTACACTATATAGATGTATCATATCTAACGAGCGCATGTGGAAATAACAATATAGTTAATTACACCACCAAAAATATTACCTCCTAGAGTCAAGTGCAATATAAAAGAGAACACGAACTCAAGCACTCACATACTTTCTAATCTGTCAAATGTTATTTCCTTTAAATGGTAGTTTGGCTTTGACTTTCTTTTCCAGCCATGTCATGATTGTATGGCGGTTGGATACAAGCGCTGCTACAGATGCTGCGGACGTGGAAGGGTACGTGAATACATCAGTAAGCATATGCTGCATGTCTGAGTCTTATCAGTATTGACATTAAAACTAGTGAGATGTTATAAATTTAAACTTAATCCAGTAACTGATGTCTGCTCTTGGTTTCATCAGACTGTTCCTTCAAGCTTCATTCTCCTCACTTTTATCTTCTATTGCCAAACTTGTCATACTTAAATTCATTTGAACCGTTTTTCCTCGTGATTTCAGTTGCGATGTTCCAGGTGCCAGGGTTCTGGTCTTGTGGAAGGAATGCANTCAGATACATGCTAATGATTTCAATTTGAAAAACATGGTCTGGGTGATCTGCATCTATCATCAGTTTCAACTTACAGTAAGACCACAAAATACAATGAATCTACAATATTTAATAAGAGAATATTTTTTGAAATTGTGTGGACTTGCAGTGGCCTCATGGTTAGTATGCTCATCTCCAAATTGAGCAGTATGGGTTTGAACCCTGGCTGTGGACATTTTGTTGTGTTCTTAGACAAGATACCTTACTCTCACAGAGCCTCTCTCCACCCAGGTGTATAAATGGGTACCAGCAAACTTAATGCTAGTAGTTAACCCCGCAATGGACTAGCATCCCATCCAGGGGGGAGAAGAAATATTGCTAGTTGCTTCATGTTACTGAAACTAGAGATAAGCATTGATGATGGGACACCTGGCTTGTACACAGACTTAGCCTTTACCTTGTTATTGTGTCAGAAATTGCAATCATAAAAATGAATGAGCAAAATACAATCATGGTGCATGAAACAAAAGAGGATAAAGAATGATAGCCAATAAACATCAAAAGGAAAGCGATAAATTTTGGAAAACATTACAGCTCCCATTTGCTACAAAAAAAATCATAATACCCCAGTTAGGGTATCTAGCATTTAACAAGGCTTGTACTCTTTTGAGATGTTAAAATTCCATGACCTTTTCCATGACCTTTCCGAGTTTTCCATGACCTATGTGAAGCAGTTGTTCTCAAAGTATTATCAAAACAATCTGTTATTTAAGTTATTTTCCCATATTATGACCCACAGAATGAGAACTAGTGTTTGTTTTTTACTATAATAGTTAAAACCATTTAACTGACTAGCCTGTTATGTTTTTAAGCCTTGGTCAAACAGTGCATGATTGTAGATGATAGTTGATGATAGTCGGTGAAAATTCGGGGAGAATCATTCAATGATTGACTATCATGCACCATTTGACCAAGGTTTTCAAAGCCTGGCCAAACGGTACATGATAGTCGATGATAGTTGAATGATTCTCCCTAAACTTTCACCGACTATCATCAACTATCATCTACTATCATGCACCGTTTGACCAACGCTTTAAATTTTGATCTTTTTGCAATTTTTATCCTCTGAAAGTATATTGCTTTTCCATGACTTTCCAGGCCTGGAAAATGAAATGATAAAATCCATGACTTTCCAGGTTTTCCATGACCCATACAAACCCTGTTTAATCACATCCTAGGTTGCGGTGCACCAGTGGATTTCACACTCCTGATAATGCTAACGTAAGTAGAAATGTTTATTCAAAAATTCATTTGTGAAACAGACAGTTGCATTTTGACACCAGTCTTTGCATTTCCTTAATTATTGCTGAATCGTACACAGCTATCAAAGTTAATCCACAGTGGTGAGGAAGGCAAAAAATCTGGGAAAAAAGTTGACATTCGAAACAAAAATGTATAAATGGGAACGTTATTGAACAATACCTCAATCCTTTAATGCCACCCACAACTCCCTTCCCTCCACCCCACCCCCCCCCCCCCTCCCATCATGTAGAAATTGGTAAATAATAATACAATCTAATTAATTCAAGTAGGTAACTTTAATTTATCCACGTCAAGTAGACGAATAATTTTACCATCTTTTTCTAAAGAGTACGGGCAAAAGTTCTCAGGCATGCAGGTAGTTTTGGCAACCCTAGGCTGGCCATTAACCAACATGCTGTAAGAAAAAGGACAAAAGAATTCACAGTAGAAAACATTCTCCTTTGTTTTACATGTCTTGAAGACATCACAGCAACAGCAACAACTAACCAACCGTAATTATAACAAGCACTGACGACTGCGTACATGCCAACTGTACATGTGACACTCTGGGAAGTCACCAACAGCAGGAGTTTGGCAATAATTTCTACATGCAATGTAGTTTATTAACTTGGGTTAAAATGGCCCCAACCTTGATTTTTGTCACTGTTTATTCTCAATCTCATCCTGACCAGTAGTAACTAAAATTGACAAACATTATTATTGTAAGTCAAAATATTGGCTTCAATAAACTAGCCGGTTTGATGTACTACCAGCCTTGCATTTAGTTTTGATTAATAAACAATTACTGTTTGTCGACAGTTGTGACGTTTGTAATGGACATGGTCGAATCAAGTGCCCCACTTGTCTGGCACAAGCGCAGTTGAAAACTTTCATTGAAATGACTGTAAAATGGTGAGTGAATAGCTTTACGTATTAAAAAAAAACCAGTTTTCTGGTAGATCGAGGAAGCAGAAAAGATGTTAACTCGGAAAATTGGCAAGCGCAGTATAAAGGTTTGCATCAATGTGGAGTGTGACTGACGCGTAATTGTACTACTGTTAAAAAATATACTCGAGTATTGAAAAAAAAGAGTGTCTTTCAAGGCGTTGAAATTTGAACAAGAGAGCACCGTTGAAAAGCAAGCGCTGGAAAGTTGCAAGCGCAACAAAATTGGTGTCCGGAGAAAGTTGGAAGCGCGCTTGGTGAAAGGTGGAAGACTGTAAGACGCAGAAAAAGTCGTGTAAGTGCGGGAAAAGTACAGTCGAACCTCTCCACAACGGCCACCTTGGAGACAGGGAAAAGTAGCCGTTGTAGAGAGGTGGCCATTAAGGGGAGGTAGGGGTTCGATATGAGTTGTATGACACCTCTTTTTCTCAGGGCTGCAACATTTTTATCTTCAAAAAATGCTTATTGTAGCATGTATCAAAATATAATTATCACTAAGATAGAAAGCAAACAGAAACAGAGACCAACGATGCGCGGTATGGATCAAGTTTCGTGACCTTAACAATAAAAAATGGGGTTTTGTACACACCGTTCGTCAGTCGTTGATTAACTGGCCGTTGTCGAGAGGTTATTATTTTGGCGGTTGGGACGCGCTTTAGTGGCCGTTGCCGTTGCGGAGAGGTGGCCGTTGTGAAGAGGTTAAAATAAGTTAGATTGAATCTATGGACCGTCCGACGGGGCTTAAAAAGTGGCCGTTTTACGGAGGTGGCTGTTGTAGAAAGGTGGCCGTTATGGAGGCTCCACTGTTGTCGTAAAAGTGTAAAAGCTCTAAGGACACACAACAAAGTTGTAAGCGCGTTAAAGTTGCAAGGTTAGCGTGAAAAAGTTGTACGCCAGGAAGAGCATTACGTAGTCTTCAAATGTCAAATGCATTAGCGTTAGCAGAGGTGAAAAAGTTGTAAGCATTGAAAGATCTAGAGACAAGCGTTCTCAGTGTCAGGCGCGGTTAGGTTCATTTCTTTGAATAAGAGATTATAAAATTGAATTATTTTTCTCCTTAATTTTGGTAAAGGGAAAATCACGTATCCAACCATGTTGTGGAGAGAACAGATCGTTTGCCTGCAGAACTCATTGTCAAATCCGAAGGAACTGAGATATTCAGCCAAGAACTGCCCAGGGTGTGTTTCAGGGTTACTTAATGAAAAGTGCACAGTGGTTTAAAGGGGGATTAGAGTTTTCTGCCATATTTTGCAGAAGTTTTATGCAATATAGAATGCCGTCATTTGGTGTGCAGTGAACGTCCCGTAAACATGTGATAAACTTTTACGAATTTTTTTTGACGATTTTTATAGTTTTGTGAACGTGAAGAAAAAGATGGAGTTCATAGGATTTGAAGAAAAAAGTGAAAATTAGAGTTTTACGTATTAGCAATATTTTATTAAGTCTTTGACTGCTGTCAAGCCTACGTGTTCTTGCAGGGGTAGCCCATTTGATGGCGT